TAGGGAAGTTGCATTCGGGCATATGAGAGTTTTCCAGTAACATCACTGAGACGATCTCCACTTCAGCTGTTCGGATGGTCTTGGTGATTGCACTTTTATTAGATTTCGACTTAATATAGCTATAAATTGTAGCTATCGCCTCCCGAAACTGGGATAAGCTACAAGCTGTCTTACAGAACCGGGTGTCCACGTTCTCTGCAACTGTCGAGAGGGAATTTCGTGTTTTTCGCGTATATTCATCGGATTTTTTAGCAACATGCGCTGAATCTACTTCACTTGTTTGTTTAAAACGTCTTATCTCACTCCTGCCTTCTATACTATTTTTTCTTCCTAAATCCCATCCCACCTTCGTCATCTGCGTTCCCAGAGTGAAACTGGATGCTGCAGTCTTGCAGACACCTACGCAGCATGATTCGGAGAGTAGAAAAATGGCCGACTTCGTGGAACACATTGCCATTTTTATGCGTTTCTTGCAGCTATGCAATGCAAAAACGCATATTGATGAGGGGTTGTCTGTGTGTGCGTCTGTCACGCATTTTTGTTTCAAGACCTGTAAAAGCCGCAGGGCTGAAATTTCGGGAACTCAATCTACATGTACGTGCCGGCTTTTATCCCCAAAATGGGCGCCATCACCCGCGTGGTACCCGCGTACGGGCTTGCCGAAATTTTTTTCCAGTAAGTTCACAACTCGAAAATCTGAGAAGCTGGGCAGTCTTAGGGTGATGTTCCCTGTCCAAGTGTGTTTTAGCGAGTTCAAACCCTGCCCGCGGGTAAGCGTGGTACCTACGTACGGGCCCGTGAAAGTTTCTCCCGGGCAAGTTACTAACTCGAGAACGTAAAAAGCTAGAGGACTGGAATTTTGAGGGGATGTTTCCTGACAATTCTGGGGGCCAGTCTGAAATTCTTTTAGCTAAAAGCATCTGCCGGAAAAACCAGCGCCAGTAGCGACAAAAATCTGCGGAGAGCTATGCAAAAAATGCATCTTCGCACGGGCAGCCAGTGCGTTGGCCAATTCATATTTTCGGCTGCGCTGCCAGATGCAAGAAACCTTTACCGAAAAAACTTCACCGACCAGTCCTACGGATCACTACGGAAGGGTTGTGCTTGTTACATAAACACGGCCCAAATCGTAATAACTGGCGAGGAAACCTCTGTGGATTAGTATTGGTAGTTGTTTATTGGATAACTTACAACGCACCAAT